ATTTTCTATTCTATTCTTATTCTATTCTAATTCTTATTTTCTATTCTTTTCTATTATTCTATTCTAATTCTTATTTTCTATTCTATTCCATTCCATTCCATTCCATTCCATTTCATTCCATTCCTATTTCTATTCTATTCTATTCTATTCTATTCTATTCTATTCTATTCTATTCTATTCTATTCTATTCTATTCTATTCTTCCGTTCCTTTCTCTTCTATTGAGAGAAATGTGCTAAAGAAGAGAAGGCAAAGGGGGGACACAATGAAAGTCTTTGAGTACAGGTAGTCCTCAATTTACAACCGTTCACTTAGTGACAGGTTGTCTATTGTTCAAAGTTACAGTGGCACTGAAAAAAGTGACTTACAGTATGACCATTTTTCACAGTTAATGACTGTTGCAGCCTCCCCGTGGTCAGGTAATCAAAATTAGCCTTTTGCAACTTTCTGACAAGCAAAGTTCAATGGGGGAGGCTGGATTCACTTAAATTGGTGTTGCTAATTTTACTGCAGTGACTCGCCTAACAATTGTGGTTAAAAAAAAAAAGTCATAAAATTGGCTGGGACTGTTCTGACCAAGGCTTCCTGAGACAGTAACAATTATACACTGTTCCCAAAAACCTTTTGTTTTATTTCAATGGCTGTGAATTATATGCATTCACAGCCCATAATGAGTCTCAAACAGTTTATGAATAGTCCAACATAAATCTGCCACAGTCTTTTCGGGATAAGGCTGATAATCACCCACCTTTATCTCCCTTGAAATGCTGCCAATGACTAAATTAGCCAATTAGCTGTAATTGCCAATTAGCTGTACAAGGCCAAACGGAGCACAAAGTCCACACAGAGCTTCAGAGTTTAAACCGACCAGAACGAACAAAGTTGCTTCCTGCAAAGGCTCATGTCCCTTTGTTCCTCCTTTATGTCTTATGGGAGAGGCCAATCATCTCCAAGCCTTACTCCTGAGTTGCCTCTTTTGTCTTAACTGTTCTTGCCTTCTGGCAACTGCGCAAGTGCACACTGGGAACAGGCTCCCCCTGTTCCTCTGCCTCACTGATGTCAGATTCGGAAGGCTCCGGAGTCCACACATAACTCCCAGATGGCCCTGGCCCCATCTCTGGGTCGGACACATATCCCTCGTCTGAACCCTCCCCAGACTCCAGAACTGGCCCATGTTCCTCCCCACTGTCTGACTGCTGCCAGCTATGGAGGGATTCATTTAGCAATGGCCTTGCTTAGCAATTCTGATCCCAATTGTGGTTTTAAATTGAGGACCACCTGGATTGATTCAGATCTCTGCCACAGATTCTGCTCAACCTTGTTTGTTCTGCTTAACCAGGTTGGTCATAAATTTTCTGAATCTGAACCTCTATTTTTTTATTTCTATCTAGCTATTCATGCATAGCGTTCCCTCTTATTTTTCTTCACAACAACCCCATGAAATTAAGAGGGCTGGCCTTTTGTTCTGACCAAGGCTTCCTGAGACCGTAATTAAGCCCACGCTTAGTTAAAACAATACTTGTTTTATTTCAATGCTGAGAATTATGTTCATTCCCAGCCTGTAATGAGCCAGTCCCTCAAGATAAGCACCTACCTTTCTCTCCTTTGAATTGCTGCCAACAACTAAAGTGCCAAATAAACTAGAAAAAAACCAACTGAAGTACAAATTTCACACAGAGCTTCAAGGATTAATCCAAACAGAATGACTTTGTTTCCTATAAAGGTTTCTTCACCTTTGCCTGACCTTTATACCTTATGGGAGGGGCAATCACCTCCCAGCCTTAATCCCAAGTCGCCCCTTTTGTCTCAGCTGCTCTTGCCTTCTAGCAGCTCAGCACACACGCACACTGGGAACAGGCTCCCCTTGTTCCTCTGCCTCGCTGCTGCCAGATTCCGGAGGCTTGAGAGGCAGCACCCCACTCCCAGATAGTCCTGGCTCCATCTCTGCATCGGACGCAGGACCCTCATCCGAGTGCTCCCCAGACTCCTGGACTGGTCCCTTTTCTTCCCCAGTGTCCGATTCTGCTGCCATCTGCACAGGCTGCTGGCGAACCACAACACCGTTGTCTTTTAAACGCAGATGCACTGCTGAATCTAGTCCTGATGGATTTGTTCTATGTTGTGCCATGCGTTTATGAAGTGGTTGCTAATTGAACAACTGCAGTGATTCACTTAAAAGAGTGGTGTGGTGGCCTAGATGTGGAGCTCTCACCTCACAATCAGGAGGCTGTTAGTTTGATCCTAGGTAGAGCCTGATATTTCTCTCTCTGGGCACAATGAAAATATATCTGCTGCAAAGTTTCGCACTGGTGACAGGAAGGGCATCCGGCCAATAAATACTCAGCTCCATTCAGTTGCCCGACTCCACCCCGCAAGGGATTACAGGGTCATTAAACAATGACACATATTCACTTAACAAAAGAGGCAAGAAAAGTCGTAAAATGGAGCAAAACTTACTTAGTAACACAGATTCTGGACTCAATTGCAGACTACCTGTATTAAGCCTTAGAAACGGCAGGCATTTGAAACTGGGACGCAACCCTCGCATTACAAGGGGAGGTGAATTTGTGGGCTTTCTCTCCCGTATGGATTCTCTGGTGCCTAATAAGATTGGTGCTTTGGCTAAAATTCTTCCCACACGCCAGGCATTTATAGGGTTTCTGCCCTGTGTGAATCCTCTGATGTTTAACAAGTCCCGACTGATCGCAGAAGGTTTTGTTACAATCCGAGCATTTATACGGTCTCTCGCTGGTGTGAATCCTTAGGTGCGATGTAAGGTGGGTGCTCTGGCTGAAACTCTTCCCGCACTCCGAGCATTTGTACGGCCTCTCCCCCGTGTGAATGGTCTTGTGGTTAATGAGGCCTGACTGGTTACAAAAGCCCTTCCCGCAATCCAAGCAACGGTATGGCTTTTCCCCCGTGTGAATTCTCTGGTGGGAGGTCAGGCTGGTACTGTGGTGGAAGCTCTTCCCACACTTGGAGCATTGGTAGGGTTTCTCCCCGGTGTGGATCCTCTGATGTTGAATCAGGCTGGTGCTCTGATTGAAAGTCCTCCCATAGTTTGGGCAACTGTAGGGTCTCTCCCCCGTGTGGGTCCTCTGATGGGAGGTGAGTTGGGTGTGTTAGGTATAACATTGATACCAAATATGGTTTGGGTGAATAAATAT